GGACGGGGACAGGCAGGGACAGGGTCCCCCCTTGTTAACAAGGCCGGGCTCTGTAGCCTTTTCAAGGCTCTGAATGGGGGGTGGGCCTGCTCCTCCCCGCAGTTTGGGCTTTCCGGGGTGTCACTGCTGGTTCAGCACAGCCCGACAGGGCCGGCTAGGGCGGGGGGCAAGAAGGCAGCCCCAGATGGGAGCATGTGGGGGGTTTCCTCTGCCTCCTGCCCACCATTCGCATGGTAATGAGGACAAATTGATGCAGAGACATCTATTGTGGTGCCCCACCAGCCCGGCCCTTCTGCTGGCCACCCACCAGCAGCCCCATCCATCACCGCCCAGCCCCGGGGACGGGCAATGGGACAGGCCCTGGTGGGACATCCCCCGGCCACCTGCAGGACGTGGCTGCTTCAAGCAGACCCTAGTCCTGGGGAGGGGGAGTCTCCCCTGAGCCCTGCTCTGTCTGGGCATCATTTTGTCCTCACTACCCTATGATGGGGTTTGTGGGGCTATGGGGGAGCTAAGGGAGGCCAGAAGCTCTTCTGTGGGTCCCTCATTCCCCGTCACCAGTCCATAGCCAGGACACCTTTTTCCCTTCTTCCAGCTCAAAACAGCCCCCGGTGCCTCACAGCAACCCCCTCACAGGGCAAAGACCCATTGCCCCATGCTCAGTGACACCCCCAAAACTTAGACTTGGGAACGGGCGCCTCATGGCACTGCAGGACACCCACAAAGGGCACAACTTCTCCCCACTGCCCAGATACTACATGGAGGGTCCTGGGGCTTGGATTTGGGGCGGGGGGGCAGCAGCACTCTGCTCCCATCTGCAGCGCACAGCCCTGGCAGCTGGGGTGCCACTGAGCGGCAAGGGGACACGTCCCGAGCTGGCAGGATGCTGCATGGCCCTCGCATCCCTTCCTGACAGGAGCTTGTGCCTCGGGCTCTGCAGCAGCAGCAGCCTGATTGAAATTTCACTCCGTAAAACGCCTCTCCAAGGCCTGACCCCATGGTCCCCCCAGGGACCAATTTGTCCTTCCCGGTAATAAGAACCTAATTAAATTAGCCAAGCCGCCTCACAGAGCCCTTAAATTAGCCACAGTGACGAAGGCCCTTGCTGACAGCCTGCTGCTGGATTGCTCCACGTGTGCTGCGGGGTTTTGGGGAAGACCCTGGGATACTCCCTGGCCCCTAGAAAGGTGACAGGGTGGCTGGTAATAGGGTGCAAAGAGGGCGCATGGCACAGAGCAGGGCTGCATGGGCGCTGGCAGAGGCCTCCCCCAGCAGCACAGGACACAGACAGGGAGATGGAGCGGAAGGGGTACAGGGCACAGGGCTGGCTTGGGATGGGAGATGGACCCAGCAGTGGCGCTGGAAACCCAGTATGTAGGGTCCATCCCAGCTGGGAGCACTGAGTCAGTGGCTGTTGAGGTGATGAAGAGTCCCTTAGTGGTAGATGGCACTGCAGTGGCCAAGCCTGCCCCTAGAGAGGAGCCTACGTCTGTGCCCATGGCTGGATCCTGGGGATCCCTCCACCCAAGTTTTGGTCCCCACCACAGCAGAGCTCAGAGCACTCACCTGGGAGAAGATAGATTTATTGGGCCGTGTCCCCGACCGGGAAAGATACATCCAGTGAAGAGACAAAAAATACACCTGTCCTCGGCCGCGCTCACACTCTCTCACCTCGCCTTGCGGACAACAATCACTGTAAAAACTGTGCTTTAAAATAATCTTTAAATAATTTCTGCTTTTCTTTCTTTCTTTTTTTTTTTTAAAAAAACAGTCCCCCTCCCCGCAACAGAGCAGCTCCCCCATCCCATCCACACCCCTCGCCCTGCGCGTGCCCACGGTGCCTCCTGGCTATGGTACATATAAAGAGCAGATAAATAAATAAAGACACGTGATGCTGCAGGCGGGATGCAGGTCACAGCCCACCCTGGTCCCCCACCTCTGCTAACGTGGAGCCAGGGCAGACTGAGGCTTAGCTAGGGTTTGCTGGGGGGCTGAGGGCCCCAGCACCGGGTGAGCAGCATGAGTTACCCTGAGGGTTTGGGGACCGGGGCAGGGTAGGCTGGGTCAAGCAGGGCCCTAGTCCAGCGCCTGGGGCGTTTCAATCAGCTTTGGAGTGCAAAGAGCACAGAATTGGGGCTGAGCCACCTCAAGGCTGGATGCTGCGAAGGCAGGGGAGGAAGCTCGTCCTCCCTGGCCACTTTTCCCTTGGGCAGGCAGAGCTTGGGTCACATTTTCCAGCCTTGCCACTCTGCTTCCATGGGCACCACAGAGCCCCAGGCCTCATGCTGGAGTCATGAGGGTCCCCCAGCCCTGCCCATGCTGGGCACCCGGGCAGAACAGGGCTCTGCACCCACTCTCCAGGCTCGGCACCAGCACCACCCCCTCCAGCCGCCTTGTCCGGGGCTGGGGAAGAGCATCGCACTCCACATCCCGCAGCTCCTCTCCCGAACCCTCGCGGCCGTGCAGACAACTGCAGCCAGGCGAGCTCCCTGAGGGC